TAGTGGGTGGGTCTTCATTTAGTAGGAGGAGCTGTGAACAGGTTTTACCAGCTCCAGGAGCACCAAGCATATTAACACGAGTAACAGTTAGATCAACACTCCCTTCCTCCATCCACTTCACTACAGCATCTATATAATATAATAAAATAGCATTATAATTAATAAACATAGCAGGAACTGTGTTGTCTATACACAAAGATGTCTATTACATTATTAGATTAGTGTGTGTTACATTAGTGAGTGTATTACCTAACCATTACAGATTGTGTGTATGTACTTATGATTGCTCTACTACAATGGATTCTGTTATGATTGTGAAAAGGTTTTATCAAAACAATAGATGGTTAGGAATCTCATTAGCTACTAATACATGAAATAGAATTATTTATTGGCCAGCAAGCATGAGCGTACCTCACATAAGTGAAACATGTGTTTGGTACATGTGCATGTACATGTATGTGTTAATACCTTGTATTCTTCTCTTCTGATATTCATTAATGTCCAGTACTGACTGTACTACCAAATCACCAGTACTAGATACTAATAATAATAATAATAATAATAATAATAATGTTTAATTAAGAGTGGGTGTGTTTGGGTGTCAACACGAGGCATTGTTAGCACTCATTTCACATTCACTATAAATTCACACTTTTAATGCTATAATTATAGTAAATTAATTTTAGTAGGCATGTATGATCATACATTAAGCCACACCCCTCACTCATTCTTTATTGTACAGCCAAGAATTATCATCTCTGATACAGGCCACTACCCAAAATCAATTAATTAAGCCTGATGTCTATTTTGATTCAGCCCTGACTGCATGGCATCAATGTTGAATCATGTCTGTTGCTCTGGCTGAACCAGGGCCATACTCCAGCATGGTTGTATCATGGGTGATTGCAGGCTGCCCAAAACCCATGATACAGGAATGTATCAGGCTGATCCTGATTGATACCAGTCATGATTCAAACTAAAATTTTTAATTGGCAGTGTAATATTATTATTATCAATACCTAAATAATTATCCACTCTTGTCAATACACATTGTATATGAATGTAGCTACTCACCAATTTCAATAAATCTTGTATCACTGAGGTATGAATCACCTCTCCTTCCTCCAAACTCAATTATCCAGTGAGTGGTCTGTGTCTCATTCCAAACTGAGAGAGAATTACGCCGTCTATCAGTGACACTGTCTGGTATATTAGTCTATATAATTAAAAATAATGATAAAATAATATATCTGGTTAATAAAATTAATCTCTCCTTCTCCTTTCTCCTCCATTGTCAATCACACTCACTTAAAAACTACTCATATAGCATAATGTTTCATTTTTTATCATATACACATGTCTATACTGACCAGTTGTACTGTATTAAATTGATTATTATTGAGGAACAGGGGCCTACAGGGTCCTGGGCCCCCATCAATTTTTGTTGATAATGATATTTATTGTTTGTTTTATTACCTACCACTTAGTAATAAAAATTAATCACCTCTTAATCATTTACAATACATTGCACAGCAGCAAATGTACAAGAAATGAGTAGTATAGGCAAAAACAAAACACTTGTTTTATATTAATCATTGTTAAAAATGTAAGAATTTGATGCTTTAAAATACGCAAAAATTATATTTTAGTGCACTATACAAGTACCAAAAAGGCGTGTGTCTAAATTTTCCGCGCGCTTCGCGTGCCACTCATCTCTGGGCCCTCTTATCATTTCCTTCCCAGCTACGCCCCTGTTGAGGAATGAAGTATACGTACAGACAGACAGATCACAGTGGTCTCGTACTAGTAGGACTCACTCATGCTCACCACAATTATATTATAATACTTACCAGTTCTTTCCATTTCATTTTGTTTATATTCAACAACCAACAGTCATTGGTACCCCCTCCACCCACCACTAGTAGGTGTGGTCCTGAGCTACAGTTGATCAATACACTGGAATGAGCATATCTCTCCTTAGGCCATTGTACTGATCCTCCAGGATTAGAAAACTTTGTACATTTCTAAAAAAATTCAATATTCATAAATCACACCCACACACTATAACGAAAAATCATAATACACTCACTACTGATGTATCAGTAAATTGAAATGTATACACATCATTACTGACTCTATCATTAATATCACCACCAAACAATATTGCAGTGGTATTAGTTATTGATGTTAAAGTGAACTGATCAGTAGGAGGTGGTCTCTCTCCAGTGACAGTTGGTGAAGTCCATTCACCTAAAAATAATAAAAATAATATGAACACACACACACTGTGAATTAGTCATATTGGACAAATGATTGTACATGTATATGTAAAAGGGGAGAAAATTTGGCACTTGAAATATGGCCATTAGAAAAATGAAGCTTCATCAAAATTTATATGCAAAGCCATGGATACAGTAGGTTACTATTGCCAAGAGAAGGAGTGAGGTATGGGGCAGGAACAAACCTTAACCACATTCCACCACTGTCTGGGGAGAACCTTGTACAGTATCTAATTACAAACTTGAAAATATTTATATTTTTATAACTATTAGAACACAAGAGATGGATACATTAGAACATAGTCTAGTGTGGATCAGACAGAACAGGGAGAGTTGGGATACCACAAGAACATTTAACCTGTCACATCCAGTTCTCAATACTGGACTATCTGACTCCTCCCTAGCAAACCAATTTTAAATAATGGGGAAACCCCTCAGTCTGTTGATAGTGACTAGTAAGTCAATGGGTATGTTAATCTCTGAGGAGACTGGTACTTACAATCAAGGTGCAAGCCCAGCGCTATAGGCTATAGTTATGGTAGTTGGGTACTAAGATGTAACCAGGAGGATTATGATGACATACACACATATAATAAGTACATCAAATTAATTACTGTATAAACTACATTTATAAACCTAATATCATATTATACTGACCAGTTTTTAATCTGTACATATGTACTTCATTGCAAAATTGAAAAACATCATGTCTACTGTACTGGGCACCAGGTTGTGGAGGGGAATTATTAGAAGATAGTCCATCTCCTCCAATTACTGCAAGATAGTCCTCGTCATTCACTTTTATTGCTATCATGCCAGAGTAGCCCTTCATCATAGGACTATGATGAGATGTAGTAGGAGAGAGTTCCTTCCAATTGAAGGTATCAACATTAAAACTATATATAATATCATAATAATATTTATCAGTAATTATTATGTTTACCTGTATAAACTATTATGAAAACAGTAACTATGACCACAATCTCCTCCAAAAAAGAATATTTCATTTCTAATGACAGCAGCAGCATATCCCCAGACACCAAGTGGAGGGTCACCAGTGGTAGGCTTTTGTACCCACTCACCAGTTGGTAGGTGACAGACCTCCACTACAGAACACATTGATTTCTTCTTCTCATTATTGTGTACTTCAGGGAGATCAGGCTGGTCCCCACCCCACATGTATAGGTAGTCTCCTACCTGTACTGTAGAGTGATCCCTCCTCTTCACTGGTTGATAGACTATAGATAAAAAGAGGACACAGTAATATAGTGAATAGTTATAATAAGCAGAGGATACAGAGGAGTAAAGTAAGGGAAAGAAAGAGAACAGGTCAACAGGTCACTTACTTGATGACATCTCCTCCAGTAAACAGCCTCTACAGTCTACACTATTAATAATAACTAGCTCAATAATAACATACCATACATATCTCACCTCACATACCCACACACTGCACTCAATTAATGTAGCAATGTACATTGTAGCTTGTGTTACCATAAATAATTTCAACATCAGAAAATAAACAATAACAAGCAAATGATAAACAATAACAACATAAGAGTGATAAACAAAAGAACAAAAGAGAGAGACAGTATTAATGGCAGTATAATATGAACATTTATCACAAGTAGTAGCTAATGGATTAGCTATGCTAATTTTAGCAATGCTATTATCACCAAAAATCAGCAACAATTCCAGTTCTAGGACATAGCATTAACTATTAACTATCAATGTTATTATTCAAACACACTCGTGGGATAAAACACACAAGCCACCACAGAAAGTGGTGAACACATAATCAAATAGTCATATATAACACACAATAAAATAATCATCTGTCAAATTGTGAGTACATAGCTATGTCATCATTTGAAATTGGACGAGGACCATATCTAGCTACTTTTTTTGCTTCCTTTGTCTTTCTTGTAGCATCATGTCTTAAACAGTTAAAAAGGAAAAAAATGAAAAAATCACTGACATTAATATTCTCTGTTACATCTACAAATGCACCTGCTATATTGACACAGTACAAACTCATGTAGTGGACTAGTGACTACATGTCAACAGTATGTGGCACTGACCACAAGAATGATTAAACTGAAGGAAACTGTAATTTAATAAGTATCTCAATAAACAACTGATTATATTGAAGGAAACTATAATTCAATAACATGGTTTCAGAGGCAACAGCCCATAGCATTAGTCTCCTGCACGGTGCACCTGCTTCTAAAAAAGGTGGCTGTTTTAAATGTGTAGCAGAATAATACATGTTCTCTGGCTAAATTTTGAGTGTTTTAGAAGTCAAACTGTTTCATTTTTTTCAAAAATCACTCAGTAGTATAATTGCTTTTGCCTTTCATAAGTCTTCATGCCCTTTTTTGAAGGATCCCTACACTCAAACCCATAGTAATCAATAGAACTGGGGAGACCATTGGGAGTACAATAAGAAGTGAAGGAGTGAGTGTTAGTAGTGACATTAGAGTCTTGTTGTTTGGGTGAGTATACTGATCACCAGTCCTCTCATCCTCAGGCTCACTGTCTGATGAATACTCATCAGCTTCTGCTGGCTCAGTCTGTGGTATACCAACACTGAATCCTCTTTTAGCAGCCATCTTGGAACTACTGGAGCTATAGGGAGAGAGAGAGGGAGGGGAAGGGAGGGAGGGAGAGAGAGAGAGAGAGAGAGAGAGAGAGAGAGAGAGAGAGGACAATAATGAGGTTATTGTATAGTGAAGGGGATAAAATTTGAACCATTTTGTAATTTTATTTTTACACGTTAGTAATATCAAAATCACTAATAGTAACTAGTAAGGTACATGTACATCAGGTTTCACAGACTTTGGGTTTAGGTTGTAGTAGAGAATCTTAATAATATTTTCATGAACATGTAAGATTGTGATTAACCTGATGTGTGTGTGTGTGTTTGTGGGCAGTTACTACATAATTAATTACGTACATATCTTACTTCCTAATAAGGACAACCATGACTATACATTAATGAACCATTAATTAAAAACTACTCAATCATAAATCAATAGATTACGCACGCACGCACGCACACACAAACACACACACACAGGTGGCAGAGTGCTCATAACACTAATTTTTTGTCAAACTTTTTACAAAGCAGAAGGACATCGATACGTATCAGAAAATGTCATAAAAATTTGGGATGATTTCGGAGCCAATTTTTGGAAAAACCATGGGCATAAAGTCTTGGGTATTTTTCAAAAATTAGCCGATTTCTTAAAATGGCTGTAACTTGAAAATTACGTGTCAGAAACAGCTCAAATGTTTTACACAGCATAAGGACATCATTATCCCGTTGATGTTTTTATGCTATGAAAATGTAATTAAAAATTGAAGTGATCTTGGAGAAAAAAACCATGGGCTACAAAACAGTGCATGTGTGTGTGTGTGGGTAGTTAATTAATTACGTACATATCTTACTTCCTAATAAGGACTACCATTACTACACATTAATGAACCATTAATTAAAAACTACTCAATCATAAATCAATAGATGACACACACACACACACACACACACACATGAAATTTAATTAATGATTTAATACCTACCTACATGTACATAAATATTTAAGTACCAATTAAAAAAAGCATGGCAGCATCTAGTTGTGAGATGACAGTAAAGAAAGACAGCATTCCCTGTAAGTCATGTATTTTAAAACAATTTATAATCAAAAATCAACTGTATAAACAAAGTACATGTAGCATACAGTGTCCTTTATATGTAACATAAACTATAACTGTGTGCATACTGCATAGGAGTAGTTAACATAAAGTTCAGTTACACAAACACCTTATCAGTTAAACCAATAGCTGAGTGAGGCTCAGACAGTGCAGGGAGAGTTGGGGCCCCATAAAAGATCTTTAACCCGCCATTTCTGGTTCTCAAGGCCAGACTGTCTGTCCCTTGCCCAGTAAGCATTTTTAAATAGAAGGGAAACCCCATATTCTGTTAATTTCGACTCTTAAGTCAATGGATGTGTTGAGCTTTGAAGATGCCATCGAGGTGCAAGCCCAGCGCTAGGCTATGGTTATGGTAGCTGGGTCCTGAGACATAGCCCGGGGGTTAGGTCGAAACACAAACACACACACACAGAGGTGGTATAGTGCTCATAACACTAATTATTAGTCAGAAACAGCTCAAGCTTTTTACACAGCAAAAGACATCAATATGTATCACAAAATGTAATAAAAATTTGGGATGATTTCGGAGCCATCTTTTGAAAAAAACCATAGACTACAGCCTTGGGTATTTTTCTATAGCATACACTTCCATTTAACAAACAGCACCTAGTGTACCAATTACATTCCTTACTGTATAAAATAACCTCCACATAAAGGACACCTCTCAAAATTTCTAGTCCTAAAGTGTCTATTATATAGAGGCTACACTGTATAATCATCTTATTTATTTATTTATTCCCCTACCCCACTTTCGTCTTCATTTTGTCTCTCACTACAAAAGGATTACCTTGAATAGCACCACCTTCACTATCAAGGGACACAACATTACTACAAACAAACAAAACATGTAAACAACAACAAAAATAAACAAAATAAAAATATCAACAAATTAACTTACTCTCCAGTCCTTACAACAGATGTGCTCAGTAGTCTATCAAAGTCGGTTAGTTCGTAAGTTTTGTATATTTCATCAAAACTGTTTCTGTCAGTAGTGTCATTACTAATATGAGGTATTGCTGGAGGAGTGGGTCCTTCTTCTTCAGGATCATCTTCAGCATTAGCAATAACTAGAAAAATAATATTTAATGATAAACATATTACAAGTAATTAGGAATATAACATAACTCTTAATTAATGTCATCAATGCAGTGTACATGTACATGTACATGCGTCAGAAAGTTTACAGCTGCACTTTTCAATTTTGACAAATATGGGCATATTATAGTACAGGGACTTTTGCTCCCTTTTGGAGCAACTTTAAAAATTTGTAAAAAACCCAAGCTTGATCGGAATCAGTTCAAACTTTCTACACGGTGTAAGTACAATGACATGTACAAATGTACATATAGACGTGTGTGTGTGTGTGTGTGTGTGTGTCAAACCTTGTCCTTCATATTGTGGTAAAGGTAGTGATGATATCAGTTCATCTTTCCACCATTTGGTAGGACTAAAAGTAAATATAAATACATTATCATACTCCAATTATTAAAAACAAACTATAATTTATTATTTTGGAAATTATGCTACACAAAATATTTCACTAGTTACATGTACAGTAGAAGAATGATAATTATTGGTTGTGTTAGCAATAGAAATAAGAATCTAATATTATTATTATAAAAGCTACTACAATATAACCTGATCTATGGAACATACATGTACATGTACAGTTACTTTATGAAATACATGTATACATGTACATGTACATGTACTGCCCCACCCACCTCTTAAACAGTTTCAGTGATTGTGATTCCCTAGCTGTCCTATGGTGTAGATAATAATCAGTTGATAGTTCCCATACATTGGCTTCTCCTTGTTTTGGTACAAACACTCCAAGGAACATGTTAATAGCCATCTGCTTGTCAGCGTCTAGTGGGTGTGGTCATGGATTAAAGCCATGGCCACTACCAGTCTTACCAGTGAATGTGTTCCTATAGTACCTCAGAGTGCTTGTGTATATGTCTCATCCATGATTCTTCATTGGAGCCACTTTACGATAAGTTTGTATCCTAAAAGAATAATAAATTAACTAGGTGAATGTAAAACATTGAAGGGGTGAGCCTAAGCAAGTAAAGCAATGTACATACAATAGATATTGACAGACTAACAATACTCATGACATTGCAACTTAAGCAGCTCAGAACTTGATTGAGTGCAGTGTAGTTCTTGACCTACCTTTGCAATCAAATCAAGTTTAGCATTTGGAAAGCATTAAAGATAGCTAGCGGAAACGGTCACTGCACAAATGAAAGTCACTGCACAATGATATGGCTAGATAGGCAACTGTAGCAATGTAGTCCAACTGTCCAAGTTAGTTCAGGCTGAGACTGACATTCAAAGTCATTCACATCAATAAAGATGGCATATCTGCTTTCTTGACATTCCTTGCAGCATTTGGACAGTAGTATGCGAGTACAGTAAGTCGAGTTATCAGCAAAAACAAGTTTCATAGTTACTTTATTGCATCTATAACCTTGCCTGGCTGTTGGAGAAGCCTTTGGACAGAACTTCTGTCTTATTTTGCTGCTAGAAAACTCATGACTTTTCCATGTGTGTTGGTCGCCATTTTATTTCATTGTGGCCACTCCCACTTTTAATGAAATATTGAAAACTGAATTTATATACCCTTTTCAATGCTAAGCATCTACCGTATTACGCATAAATAGGGGTGACGTACGTGTACATACATACATACATACATACATACATACATACATACATACATACATACATACATACTCGTCTCATTTATGTGGGGCTCGCTCAGGCTCGCCCCAATAACTAGGTGAATGTAGAACATTGAAGGGGCGAGCACAAGCTAGCATGGCAATATACAATGTTTAGATGTCACAAAGGCTAATGTTGTTGTTAAATTGTAACTTGAATGATACACATGCAGAGCAGCTCAGAACTTGTGACTTGCATGCATGAAAGGAAATTTTATAGCTTGCTCTTCTAGCTTTATTAGCAGTGAAGAATCTCAGTTGTAACTTTAATAAGTATAATTTAATTTTACTATGATATTTTCAAGCACAGTACTTTTAGACTCTCTTTTCTCTGATGACTTATGAGCCATTTGAAGTGCTTTTATATTCTGTCATTCAACCATAATTAATAAAAACTTGAAGATTTATGTGTGTTTTCTTGAATTTTCTCTGTTGACAAAGTGTCTTGACAAGAGATCAGTCCTATGTTGCTGCAAGTAAGATTGGCTAAGGTAGGTGCCATTTTTATTTCATTGCAACCACACCCACATCAATGAAAATATTTCATTACAATGCTACCGCATTAGATCATTG